TATTACTGAAGTGTCTTGAAAAGCACAAATACAAGTACTAAAACCTCTGTATAATTACGCAAATGTGATGGAAAATGGAAAGAAAGTCTGGATTTTGTTACTGAAACTGGTTTGCTTTATAATTAGAAAATAAACCTGGTTTAGGTTATAATTAGAAAATAAGACCTGGTTCCAGAGGTCACAGTGCTCCCAAAAGGTAAAACCAAAGTCAAGAATAAATAATTGTATATTTGTGGAGATTTTCCCTCAGCAGGCTTGACTCCACATCTCTGGTCACTGCAGGATTTGGGGTTGGTGTGAAGATGACGTAGCTTGTCTGTTTCCACAGACTCTTGCTCATCCCAGTGCACCTACCACATCCTGATTGTGAACTGGATCTCAATTTTGACACTCTAAAGGGGAGAAGAAATGTCAGATTATCCATAAGGATGACTGAGATATTTGTGGTTCCACCTGCATTCCAGGGGATCCTTGTTAAAGGATTATTTGTTCAGTCCCATTCACTATTCATATATACTGCAAAGGGGCTAAAGTAATGATGTTATAAATATTATGGTCATGTATTCATGCCATGTTACAAAGGGAAGACATTTTAAGCCATTGGATGCAAAAAGGAAGAAAAGAAGAAAAGAAAATATTTTAACTGGCGTTGTATTATTGTAAAAATTTAGATGGAATAATTAAAAAGGGATAGCCTGATGATTTAATGGGTACATTTTGTTCTGTTTCCTGAATGTTAATTCTAAAATAATATATTTGTTACAGACTATTTCTATTCACATACTTAATTAGAGCACCAATTAAAGTGTGCTGTGGAAAACACTGTGGAAAATGCACCCCCTGGTGGCTCCTAAAAACATATTCTAGAATAGAAGTTTGGAACTTTTCTGAGCTATCTTCCCAGAAAATATGCCTGGAAACAGAAAATTAATTACTTCACTAACAAAAACATGGTTCTTTGTAAAGAACAGCTAAAAATATTTTACATACTAGAATTTATGAAAAGACACAAGCCAGAAGAATGTATTTTAGGAATATAAAGTACACTGTTTTAATGAAGAACAGCATATTGGTGCAAAATAATACCTTACACATATTTTATTGTGAATATAGTATAATGAGAATGGCCATGGAAACAGATTGGCAAGATAAATTCTTACTTTATCTATGACAGACAACAAAATTATCTCTGATTCAGTAGCCCTGCAGAGAGGAGGACAGGATTATATAGCCAAAAGAGAAAACTAAGTGCGTTTGGATCCAATCCAACAATCACTGATTTTGACTCCTAAAATATAGAGGTATGACCTTCTTACATTTTCCTATTTCAGCAGGAAAACACAATTTCTATGGGTAGTACAGATGTACTTTCCTCCCCAGCCCATTGTAAATCAGGATAATTCATTCCCTGATGGCACAAATAGGAGAGCTAGGTGTATCCATTGCATGGCGTAACAAATTTTTCCCATAGCAGTAGGCTCATATGTTCCCTGCCTGCCTATTTTCTACCATAGTGTTGGCACCTTTTGAAATCCCCAGGCAATGTGGAGCCACCTGAAATATTTCTCTCTCCAGCTGGTCACCTTGGCACAGAGGGGACAAGTCTGAACCCTTTCCAACTGAGCAGGAATTCTGCTTAAAGGAATACTCCAACTGCGGTGGGAACTTTATTTTTCAACGAGCCCTGGGGCTTATCCCGAAGCAACTCCTTCTATTCCACAACTTGTGGTTAAGAAAGGATGACAAGAGGAATTCCTGAGACACGAGTAAGCCCTGCTGAAAGCCACTGGCAGACTGACTGATGTCACTCTGGAGAGCTGTCACATTACGAGTGTGCCCTCCTCGATGGGCTGTGCAGCTGAAGATGCTGTCTAATGGCGTGTTACCTCGTAATGATAATGCTTCTCTTTAATGGTGTGTGTTACTTTATAATGATAATGGTCTTCTTGGAGACAGACTATAACTTTAATCTCACAACCCCACTGAGGAGCTTATGCTCAAAGCACTACAACTCTTGTCCATGACCTCTGTGAGCAGCCTGCTCATCTGTGGGTAGTCATCAGCAAGAGTTTTCAAACAGAAAAGATAAAATTCAATTGAGAGGGCACAAGCCTTCTTTGAATATGGGGAAAGTGTTCCACAAAAGAAAGATTAATATTTATATTATATATATTATATATGAATATATATATTAAATATTAATTATATGCTACTTAAATTTCTTTTTACAGCACCAACACATTATGGTTTTCAGCTGGGAAATGAGAGAAAATTGAAAAAAGCATCACTGGAAACCTGATATTTTGTTTCTTGGAAAATCATGGAGTGACACAAGAAATCTTTGGTGCCAATTTCTCTCCTTCATTGCTCAGTGAACATTTTGGCCAGATATGGAGGGAGGCTTAATATTTTCCAGTACTTTTTGTAGATCCCTAGTCTCAAAAAGAACAAAATAATTGTAAGTAGCAGAACCTCTGTGCAATATGACAATAAGAGAGACTTCATAGTCCACAGACTTCCTAGTGTGCTTAATTTGACATGACGTATGTCTTATGATTATCTTTTAAATTGAAAAAAATCCAGTTCAAATCCCCAACCCCCTCCCAGCCCCCTCCCCAAACAGCTTATGAACAAAAAACCTTAATATTCAAGTCACAAAAGTTAATTATATGGAACAAAAATTGCAACTGAGCTTTTTCTAAAATCCAGCATCAGGAGTGAGACTGAAATCTACCCATTTTCCCTACACTTAAATTTGTATCTTCTAATATTTGTAGGTGTCCTTCCTCCAACATAAAACTGAAAAATTATGATGGCATCTGAAAGATTGTTTCAAAGCATTTCTGTACCAACCACATACAGGAAAAAAAAAACCCTGGACAATGTAGTTAAAATAAGTGACCTGAAGTAAATAAGAAGTGACCTTAATTCCTATGCCTGACACGTTGCTGAAATAGTGTGGTCATCTAATGATGCATTATTTCAGTTATATGATAATATTTCTCTAACAAGAATGTTCTGATTACTCCTTCAATATGCATAAGTGTCAATGGAAATTATACAGGTAATCTAATAGATCCCACAGTTCAGCCAAAACAGTATTATAATGTGGACATGCTTTTCATATTTTAAATACCTTATCTGCTTACTCAAAGTAAACAGCGTCTCTAATTACTAAAAAGTATATAGTTTTCCCTTTTGATCTACGGGAAATATACTACAATATATTTTCATATGAGAAAAGAAAATATGTGCCTCCTGTGAAAATAGATACTGTAGTATGCTTTCACAAGAAATTAAAAAGACAGACACTGGAAACCAAAGAAATGGGCAAATATTAAATCACTAGACTAGGTACTGTAAGAATTTTTCAAGCTAAACCAAAATAAATTTGGCATCAGTGAACATCTGTTCAATATTCAGTTTAAGTCCTTCTCATTTTTTTACATAAATAAAATTAATTTCACTTAACTTAGACTCATGTACCAAAGATGACTACACCTGAGTTAATAATTAATGCCAACTCCATCCTTACTTTTATTTGTCTTTCTTTCTTTTTGTCTATTTAAATTTTCTGCATTGAAAGATAGCCTTTAGCATACACTAACAACTTCGGTATAGCAAACATCAGAAATAAAAAAAAAAAAAAGCCCACAACTAACTCCACCTATGGAAAAACCCAGAACTTATCACTCTTCTTAAAATGAATCTGTTTTATTCATTAGAAATTCACTTGAAACTTCAATTTCTTTCCAGTTGATACCTCAGGTCAAGTGAGAGGCTAAAATGTTCTGTGTACAGGATAGTTATAACCAGATATAACCTTAAGGTTACCTCAAGACTGTAGACCTGACTGTCAGAAAAGCAATAGTAATACCTGTAAACTGATCAAATTCAATCAAAAACTATTGATAAAGAACTACATATAATTTAATTTTGCTTATTCACTCTTCAGGATTTAATAACATAATTTCACTGATGATGCCAAGAATGAAACTTGATCATTTTGCATAGCTGATACCAATGAAATACCAGTAGATTTTAACAAATCCAGCATTATTCATTCCAAAACTTCAGCATTTTTACAACATAAAAACTTTAGTTTAGACACCCACTGCAAATAAAATCTGTGTTAATTATATTTTTCCCCTGCTTTTGGTCTACTTTGTGTATAATCACATCATTCTCTCAGAGGTATTCTCCAATATTCACTGAAAACTATTCAGGAAATCAGCTAAAGAGGATTTTATTATCTAGATATCTTATTTTCTAAAGTTTTAGAAAGATGCAATAAGACAAGACATCAGGTTTCTTAACAGCATCCTAATTTTGAAGAACTAACTCTGCTCTGATCAAATGCCAACTAATTTTGACAGATTTTGGAGATTTTAAGAGACACTATAAGCAATTCTGCATAAAATATATCAAACTTCTTACACATCAAAATAAGCCTTTGCTGCTGTAAGCAAATAGCTTCTGAAATTGGAATTGGCAGAGTAAGAATTTTATGTCTTCTGCTGTTGCCTCCTAGCACCTATTTTATTGCACATCACCAGAGGGAGCTACATTTTGCAAAATTTTAGCACTGCTTTGATGCACTGAAACATAATTGGTGTCCCAAAATACTTCCAGTGTTTCTTGGGCAGAACACAGAAACAGATTCAGTCTCATTCCCTGCTGGCTCAGAGTCAAGATCTGCTTTAGGATATAAATGGTGAAATGGTTTCTCCCAGTTTTTAGCAGATATCCCTACATCAGTGCTGAGAGATATTAAAATGAGTGAAAAAAACACTGCTTAAAGGATGCCTTTCTCCAGGAGGTGGGAATTAACTTTTCCAATGGGCAAGCTGAGTCAGTGAGAGGTGCTTTTGATGCCCATGGGAGGCAGAGGGGAGCATGTGGCCACTGGCTCTCGTTGCTTGCCCACTTCTAGAGGAAGAGCTGCTGGCCAGGGCTGCTACAGGGAGGCCAAAAAGCTTTATCTCCTTCTGCTTTCACAGGCCTGCTTCTCACATGAAGGTCAGCAGCTGATGCTCCCCATCCCTGGAGAAGGACAATGAATGAGGTAAGGTGACAGACAGCACTTCCATAAACTCCCTGGAGGTAACATGGTCACAGCAAGGGGGTGGGAGAGAGAAAAATCCTCTTTTCTTCAGGATTGATCTGCTTCTTCTTCCTAGTCTGTGAATAACTCAGCTCTCACATTTCATACAGCTAGTCAGAAGTCCAAGAGGATTTTGCAGTAAATCACTGCTTTGCCCTCCTCACACTTTGGGACAAACATCCTTCTGCAACAAGTGAGACAACACTGAGCTGGGAAAGTTAAGGCAGATTAGACACAGTGGACTGGAAAGGTAGGATAAAATTGGTTGTTAGCCAGCACATAAGCCTAGATGATAAACTTTTATTTTTACAGGCCACCAGGGCTGATGGCAATACAAGTCTAGTTGAGTTAACACACTTAACACCGGTTACATATTTATGTTAAAACTAACCTAAGTTTTTATTAAAGTTCTGTAATGTATATTAATTTCTATACATCCAACCAAGTGTAATGCTTTATCTTTTTTTTCTAGTAAGAGATGTCATTACTAATTTCTCCTCCTTATTTTTATATATGGGTTTAGATTTTGGTGTAATAAATACAACTCATGCCAAAATATCTCCACACAGCAAAGCCTTTAAAATATCACTGTCCAGATCCTGAGGTCAATAAGCATCTACATAATACTGTTCAAGGATTTAATCTATGAATGTTCCTAACCTAAATAATTTTTTATCATGTTTCAGACAGCACCCCCCTTCTTTTTACAATTCACATATCCTCTCCTGGGTTAGGGCAAACCCACTTATGGTATTACCCCCTACCTTAGAGCGACTAAGAATTATTTATTTCTACATAAGCTTGTGATTTATTTGTTTACATTCAAGTTTGATTAGATCCCATCAAAAGTTGAAAGGAAACAATAAATTCTCTCACATGACTCTCCACTGAATCCAGTTTGTCACTATACGAACATGGAGAGAGAAGTTATTCCCAAATACAAGAACTGACCCTTGCCTCACAGTGACTAAAAACTGCTTTTCCTCTTTTTTTTTTTTTCTTCTATATGTGCTATGAAGTTATTCTTGATATTTGTACTTCACTTCATATGACTGGGAGGAATAAAACATATGCAACTTGCCAGCAAAAATACATTAACATAAAATTGGCACAGACCACTGGAAAATCAAATCCCATGAACAGGCATGACCTGTCATATGAATAGACTAGAAACAGGCTCCAAACTATATCAACAGCTTCAACTATAGAACCACAGAATCATGAAGGTTGGAAAGATCTTTAAGATCATCAAGTCTATTGTTAATCCAGCACTACCAAATCCACCACTAAGCCATGTTCATCAGTTCCATATCTACGTGTCCAAATATTGCAGCCTTTTGGGGTTAAGGAAAATCAAAGCTATTGCAGCCCTTTGCAGTACATGTATAACAACTGGTAGGATCGTCCATCAAAGAATAAGACGTCTTAAAATTCTGGCCACCAGAACAGTTCTGAAAGATCATCAAAATTTACTTTCTCTCTTCCAATCTTTTCTCAATAAAGACTGTGGAAGACAGGACTACAAAGAAGATACTGCATTTGCTCAGTTCCCAATTATTAAAAAAAAAATATAGAAATTACTGGAGGAACTCTATGGTATGGCAAATACAATAAAGTCTCCACAAACCTTTACCTTTTCAGAAAGATGAACTCTACAGCAGGTTATACTTAGGCATCATTTTCAGTATCTTAAAGTCAGATTTGTCCATGGAGTAGGAGTAATGCTTGAAATCCTATGTTCATGGTTACATAATGTTACCAACTTCTCCCCTATCCTGTCTTCAGTGAGCCATGAGCTATTCTGGACTGACAAACACATGCTAAAATAGAACAGGACAGAAACTCTAAGAAAATTAGCAACAATTTTCCTAAAAGCCCCTTAAAAACTTTAAAATTTTAATCTAAAATTTCCAATTCCACAAACACAAAGACCTTTTTCCCAACAGATGGAAAGAATTAAACCAAGGAAATCAAACTAAGTCAATAATTAAAGCAGCATTAGCAGTAAATTGACAGTTTGTTCAGTAATGAAAACCACCAATTGCCAACTGTAATGAAATGCATTATTAAAATCATAATGAGGGTGTAAATACATAATGCTGCATAAAGATACAATCTGAAGGAGTTACCCAGTGTAGGAAATAATTAACCTAAAATAACAGCAGCAATACAAAACAACTGGGACCTACCACGGGTTGGGGATCAGAGGAAAAGGGAACACTGGTTGAAATATTCTTTGTAACTGTTCCTGTGAATGCAGGAAGATGTGCTGTTTTGGGATAGCTTGCAGGGAATTGGGCAATCTAGCCACTGCAGGCACAGAGTAAAGTCTAAACCTTTCCACTTGTAGCTCAAATTGTGGAACCAAGGCCAAGAAGCAAAATTTTTTTTCCAGCTGTCCTCTGTGCTATAAACCATTATGCTTTCCACCTTATCAGGGTCCCCAAATTTAGGAATTCCTTTTGATTTAAGAGATTTTACCTACTGAAAAGGTATCAGGCAGAGAATACATGTGCTCTTTTATTAATCAGAGCTCTTTAAAATACACATTCCCCTTCCTTTCCCATCCCCACCCCCAGATTCCAACTAATGTATTGCAATAAAAAGCTATCAAATTAAAGTGGACCATTGAGCAGAGCTGTAGAAAATGCTATAACTATGATTATCCCAAAAGTCTGTGTCCCTTGCACTTCTCTGCACAGGAGTGGTTGTGGAAAGCAGAAGCTGGGAAAGAAGTGCTGTAGGATGCAGCATGAGAGTCTCATTTGGATGGACCAGCTCAATCAGGTAGCAGTGTTTATCAGCTAACATAAAGGCTCAGCTTGAAGTCAAAATAAAGATGAGAAAAAAGAAAGAAATCTGAGATGAACTTCTGAAGTGGATGAGAAATGGTATGTAGAGGGATGAAAGAAAAAAAGAGCAAAAGCAAGAATCTAAAAGAGGAAATTATGACATCACAGAATGGCCTGGGTTGGAAAGGACCTTATCATCTAGTTTCAACATCCCTGCCATGGGCAGGGACATCTTCCACTAGACCAAGTTGCTAAATTTAATGTCATAAAGGTGGCAGGATTTTAAAAACCTTTTGCTGGAATCTGTATGTATGCAAATTGAGACTTAGATAAAGGGTAACAGACATAATTAAGAACACAGCTCTGTTAAGAAGCACTAAGTTTTCATTAGTGAAATAAGTCACAGCTCACTGATCTGTTTACCTAAGGATTGTCTAGAAAACCAAGTTTTGGAAGACAACACTGGAAAATTAATAAAGGAAGAGTCACATTCAATCTAGATAAGCAAATTCTCACTGAACACAAAAGGGTAGCTGAGATCCTATAGTTAAGTTCAGCCTGAAGCCAGTTCAGAAATAAGAGGTGGGAAGGACTGAGAAGGGTAAAAATATTTAAAACATATGCTACTTGAGATAGGAATAGGTGGACAGTTTTATGAATGGACTGTGCTGGGAAGAAAATGAGACTACAGGTGGCTCACTGCTACCCCAAGCAGACACTCTTTCCTAAACACATCCTATTAAAGGCATCCTTTGTCCTCACAACCAGTGCAGTGCCCTGGAAACCCTTGGTAGAGCAAGGTATGAACTGCTGGTCACAGAGGGAACAGTAGGGTGGGTCCTCACTGTCATTTAAGCCTGCTGGTGCAAACCCAACCAACACCAGCCTCAGAAATGGTGTGGGACAGCAGCTCCTGTGATCCCATGGCTCTGCAGTGGGAGGGAGGCAGTCCAGAGACACAGCACAACCATTGCTACCTGCACAATCCCGAGAGAGACTGTGCCTCCCACGTAAATTCAGATCTGTGCCTTTACAAATGCTCTGCCCTACTAATTTCCTTACTACAACCACCTCTGCCTCAGTAATCTTCACCCCAAGAGACAAGGCAAAGGTTCAGTATATGAAGATATGCTCAAATATGTGTTGTTGCACTGGCAAGTTGCCCACCACGGAGAAGACATGAATAATCTGTGACAATAAAGGGGTAATATTATGTCCTTTGAAAGGGGCATCTTTCAAAAACGCTTCATATTATTTATGACCAGATATAAAAAAAAGCCACTAGTTAATACAGTTAATAAACCATGACAAGTTTGCTTTAAATGAGTGGGATATCTAAATCCAACATTATTTATTAGGCAATATGATATTTTCTTGGTGTTTATCCATCAAACATGGCACCCTTATTGCACATACATTATGCAAAGTGTCAAATTAAAGTATTGCTTATAAAAATAAACATTAGTTACTGAAGTGATCCAAATGCTTGATTAGAATGTTATTTAGGGAAGCTAATAAATATCTTTAATAAATCTTTTGAACAGAAGTAGGAAAGCATGTACTAAAAATTTTTGGGGTCTCACCTCCTTGCTTTTCCTTTCTCCAAGCAAACAAGGAGATAGAGAATTCAAGTGTAAAGAAAAGCACGTCTCATGAGGGACAATAAACCAAAGGCAACATTAGCTATTGTGGCATCTCTCTTACAATGAGTGAAAGAACACAGTAACAACCAAAGGGACCTCTGCAGCAATTAGTGTGCAGGAAGTAATGAATGGAGAATGGAGTCTCTCTTTGATTTCATTCCACACCATTTTCTGGCTTGCATTTTTCAGCTGGAGCAAGCTCAGTCTCCATAAATGCCCACTCATTAGGCACTGAGACCTGAAAAATGCTGAGAATGATTCATCCCCACGGGATTCAGCCAGGAATGAAGACAGCCAGTGACCTCACGACTTTTCAGGGAGAGATCAGGATCGAGCCTTTGAAACAGATGCTGGAGAAAGAGACAAATTACTGTGTATTCAGAGCAGAAAGTTTATCTTCCAAAGTTTGGCACTCTGGTACACATGTTAATTTGGCTTTTGCAACCAGAGAAAATGCTACAAACACAAAGTATTCTTTATACACTTAAAGCTGACTTGATAACCTTGGGTAAGGTGATGAAGTTGG